GGGGGGGGGGGGGGGGGGGGGGAACGCAACACATGTTCAAGCAGCCTAATTTAAAACATGGAGCCAAAAAGGCTATGTTCAGGATGCAAAAGGCATGTGGTCCTCATGAGATCACACCCAGCATTGTCCCATCCCACTTGGGCGTTGCTCTGCTATCTGCAGCCACTGGTGGCTCTTCTCCCCATGGTGTTTGGGGTTCTTGCTCACCTTGAAGCGTATGTGCCGCAGGAGGTCAAAGTGCTGGGCGTACATCTGAAAGTACTCCAGGAGGAGGCTGTGGGGTAGGAAATTGGGAAAATCCTCCGGGCAGGGGAAGTCGCTGAAGCAGGACATCTCCTTGGAGGTGTTAGTGATGACTGAGCGGTACACGCTGACCCTCCCGCCATCCCTGGATTCCTGTGTGAAGCCAGTGGTGCCATTTGCAGGTGTGCAGGGAAGCACTTTCTCCCTCCAGAGTATCTGAGTATTTTTCTGCCTTGTATTCAAATACAAGGAATAAACCAGGACCAGCATCTGGTGACCATTGTTTCTGCTCCCTCCATCTTCTTCTCCACCTTGGAGTCAGGGGGAGCCCCAAGCCTGGGACAGGGACAGTCCCTGAGGGCATGGCCACCTTTTCCTCTTTGCTGCAGGCAAAGGGCATCTGAGAGAGGGGAAAAACCCAGGGACAGTCCTCCCCATGAGGTAGAGCCCACTGACCGTGTAGCGCCAGAGCCCCCCGATGTCCTCGCTCCTCTCGAAGCATGTGGGCTCCAGCCCTTCATCCAGGCAGCACTTGACAGAGGCCAACCCACCAACCCCAGCGCCGATAACAGCCACACGCTGCACCATGCTGGCCTGCAGCAGGCCGTGGGCTGGCGTGCGAGCAACTGGAAATAAAATAGCCTAGGGATTAGCAGAAACACCAGTCCCTTCTTCCCATCCCCTGTCAAACACCCCTGGTCTTCTCTGGCTGTGGGTGTCCACAGAGAAAAACTATCCTTGGAGAAAGTTATCGCCAGCTCCTGACTCAAGCATTACAGATGGCTGTTGTTCATTACCCTTCCTGCTGTCCACACTGAGGGCCAAGGATTCCCCTCCTGCAGGAGGGGGGAAAGCAGGAGGGGGAAAAGGTGGCACTTTTAAACCTTACTGCACTGCTGCTTCTATTATTCCTTTCTTGGCCCAAACCAGGGCATGCAAAGAAGGGGAAGGGGCTCACAGCTATCTGCTTCTGCCTGCACAAAGTGATCCTTCTGAAACCTTTTCAAGAAACTATTTCAGCTAAGCTGGGTCATTTTCACACTTTCCTTTTAAATTTCCCATTAAAGGGCATTATCTCAGAAACAAAAAGGTGGGGTTTTTTTGAAAAAGTGATGCCTGACTGAGCAGGAGCACTGCACAGTGATTCAGAAGTTAGACAGCACCGTGAAAGTGTGGCTGGGATTTCAGAACATACAAAAGGTAAGAAACCCAGGAAACGCACTGTGTAAATGGGAGGAACTCAAAGCTTGGGCTGTGTAAACTGAGCTGCATCAAGCTTGACTGGGAAGCAAAGAAACTAGGGAAAAAATGAACCCACATGAACTTTGATTAGATAACAAACACTCCTACTGCAGAGTCTGAAGAAAGAGTAATTTATAACTTTTTAAATACCTATTCGGTGTCAAAAAAAGTAAGTTAACATAAACAGGAACTGTAGGAAACTGCAAAAACCCAGGGACAAATGAGTGAGGTGCAAAAACCCCTCTGCATCCAAAAGCCCAGCCTTAGCCACTCCTTGACCTGCAGAAACAGGGCAGGACATACCAAAAATCGCCCACCCCCGTTTCGGGAGCCTCCCTTGGCTTTGGGAAATGGTAGCGACGTGCCTGAGGCGCTAAAGTCACCCCTCTTTTCCAGCGCTGCCTACAGACGGCTTTGCTCTGGAGGGTCCCCACGACACCCCCTCTCCCCACACCAGCAGCGAGACAAAGCCGGTGGCAAACACCAAACCCCAGAGAGCTGGCTGCCTGCTTTTAAAACCTGCAAAACCCAGCCAGAGAAAAACGAGGACCAAACCTTGAGAGGTGGAACTGTGCCTTCGCTGCTCAGGCTTCGGCTGAACTTTGCTTCGAGTTTCTCTAGCCACAGATTTAAAGGAAAGGCTGAAGTCCGGGCAGCTTGCCCCAGCTCTTGCACCACTGACCTTTACACCCACACTCCCCTGCTCTGCTGTGCTTAAACAGGCTGGCAGAAAGTTCTCAGCCTCCCTGTGGTGATGCAGGGTGGAAATGTGGACCATAACCCCAAGGGAGCTGTGCTTGCAAGGACTCCTGCACCACAGCTTGCCACTGTCCCAGTCCCAGCAGCAGCTTGGGGTTGTCCTGATCTGTCCCCCCATGTTCTGCCTGTACTGGGCAGGCGCTCACTCGGCATCCCTGAAAAGTCAGTGAAGCACACTCCCTTTGCCCACATGCCAGCAGGTGTCATGGATGGGGGACATGGTGCACAGTGAAGCCTCATTTTTGGTGAGTGATGAAAGCCCTTTCAGCCCCAGGCTTGTGGGTTGCCCACAGCACCTCCTCGTGTGGCCCCAGTCCAAGCACAGGACCCCCCAGGTCTTCCTATGCACACAGGGAGACAACAAGGCAGCAGCCTGCAGCACACTCTTGCCACAGCCAATGAGGTTTTATTGAATGAAAGTCTCTCCATGCACACAACAAAATCCCAGGGGGTGGGGAGTGCAGGGAAGCAGTGTTGGGAGTGCTCAGCCCTGCAGGGTACCAGCCCTGGTCTCAGAGTTGAAAACCACCGCAGTCAGGGCCCTTGTGCTGGAAAGATGCACTGGGATTTTTGGGTCATAGGGTTTAAGGTTGGAAGAAGGGACAGCCTGACCTGCATACCCAGTTCACATAACCCCTTGCTGGACTAAGGACCCCAATTCCCAGGTGGTTTAGGGTAGGGCTGGGCACCTGTTCTCCTCTCCCTCTGTGACACCCAAAGCCATTTTTGCTAGTCTTGTCCTCATTGCATCCTGGCCAGAGTGGTCCAGGCATGGCCATGTCACACAGCCATGCTCTGTTCATGGCAGCAGGCAGGAGAGCAGCGGAGAGATAATAAATGCTTGGGGGGGGGAGGGGGGGGGCAGGGCTGCCATCCCCCGCTAATCAGATCTGCAAAGCTGTGCTTGAGAGTGAGCAGGAGCAGAGAGAGGTTTGTGCTGGTGGTTAAAGTTTTAAATTGGTTGTAATCTGATGAAATCCCTTTCTTCCTGTCCCATGACACCTTGTGGAACTGTCTGACCTGAGATAACATCCCCAAGGACAAGAACAAAACCTAAACAGACTCTAAAATCTACTGGAAACCAAAAAACAGGGCAGCCAGGAGCAGGAGAACCCCCACCACAGTCAAGAGAGAAGGACAGAGGCTGTAGGAGCTGGTGGAGACTCGCGTTCTCGTGGGCTTCAGGGTTCGGTCCCACTGCGTGAGGATGGCCTGGCGTGCCCCCTCCCAGCGCCCAGGGCCCTCCAGACGGTACTGGTAGGGGGTACAGGGGCCAAAGAAAATAGTGAGGGCCAGCTGGGGGTCTCTGCAGAGCAGTCCCAGCACGCTGGGCTTGGCACCGATGAAGGAGGCCAGCTCATCCATGTAGACCAGCCACTCAGTTTTGAGGACTTCATCAAAGGACAGACCGAACCTTAATGAATTGGAGAAGAAAAAGATGTGGGAGAAGGATTGGCATCAGTGCGCCCAAGAGGAACTGGAGGCCAGATCCTCTGCACCCACGTTGTTATTGCATCTGAACACAATGGGATTCCTCTTAGGAAAGCTCTGGGTTTATGTGCAGTGGGAACCAGGGTCTGTCCGGGCTCAAATCCTGCCCAAGACACAGCACGTGTAAAGTGATGCTGGCTCTGGCACACACCCTTCTCATGTGCATCAGTTGCTCTTTAGCTTCGTCACCCATAAGTTGTGCCTGGACTCCTTCTTTTTACTTTGGTAGACCCTTTCAAAAAGACTTTGTCAAACTAGTTCTGTTTGTTTTGTTTGCTTTTTCAAAAACTAGTTTCCCTTTGCTCTCTTCAGAGAAGTGTGCAGCGTAAGAAAGGTGGCACCCTTTAGTTTCCCTCATTCTTTCTCACCAAGTATTGCAAAAATACATGGCGATTTGGGGAATTGCTCCCAGTTCACCTTCTCTGCAGAATTCACAGCTTCATATGTCACCTTTGGTGGGCTGAAAAAAGCCACGTGTGTTTAGCCTTATATTGTACAACAATTGTTCTGTTCATTTCTGTATTTCACTCTTCTGTGCCTTATTTACTATAGCGATCTAGGTGAACCATGGATTGATAGACCACCCAGTTTCCTGGTTTTATTTCATTCATTTCCTAATGTTTCTTAGCCTTTTATCTGGCCTTTTGCCTGCCCGTGAACCACATGCTGGTGTGCTTAGACACCTATTCACAGTGAGTCAGATCTCCATGCTGAAAGGTGAGACAATTTGCATGCACACTTCAGGTTGTTTTTTTTTTCCCCCTGCTGAATTACTCTGCGTTTATTACCACTAATTTCTCTGCCATTTTATTTCTCAGTCTCTGGGGACCCTGGCACACTTCCACAACTACCAAGCAAGCTTTAGTCTCAACTATGCTGAACTGATTTATTCCTGACATCAACAGGCAAAATATCAGAATCAAATCAAAGGTTACATTGGCTCCGTGAAAGCCAATAAGGAGGTGGCTGGATCTTGGCATCCCCCCCTTGCTTCTGCTATACATGCAGGGAGCAGATGCAGTGTGAGCTGCGCTGCTGTCCCCTAAACTGCAGGGGCTTTTCAATCCACCAAAAAACCTTTGGGGCTCCGGGAACCGGCTTACCTTCGCACTTGGTTTTTCTTCTTCTCGTTTACTTCCTTCTCCATGAGAGACTGAGGAGGCAACCGACACAAGCCTAGAAAAGAAGAGAGCGTCCTGCATAGTTTAACTCCTGGAAGGACTTGGGAACTCATTCAGCAATGCAAAACATGGGAAGCCCTTCCCCAGAAGAGCAGAAAAAACTTGTTGTTGGATTTAGCTTGGCAGGAGCAATTCTACCAGAGACCAGACCTCCATGGTGGTACAAATTCACCTGCAGTTTTTCCTGCTCTTACAGATTTGTGCTGTCAGGGCATGAGCAGATGATGTGGGGTGAGATGGGTCATGCAAGCCCCAGAGAGGATCATCCCAAAGAGAAACCCCAGAGCTTCCCCTGGCTCTGTGGAGGAGCCTTAATGCAGCCCTCCACACCAGCCCCGTGGGAGGTTATTATTGTTATTTTTATTAAAACCCCCAAATAGTTGGTTTCTTTCCTCACCCCAATAATGACAAAAAATTCCTCTTGTGGGGAAATGGGACTCCTCTCCTCTGGTAGTCATGGTGGACAAACCATCCTGTTCCTTACAGAGTAGTGAATTCTGCAGGGATGGATCCACCACAGTATCTTAAAGATAACTCTCATCTGTGTATCCAGGTTTACATATCCATCTCTATGCTCTGACTTCTAAAGTATTTTAGAGAGAAAATACTGTCTTGAACAACCTAGTTTAGACCATGGTTTGCAGGCTCAGATGCCGGACTGCACATCAGCTGAGTCACAGTAAGGAATGGAGCGCACGCTCTTGGCTTGCAGCAGGCAGCAGCCAAAGCATTAGCTTAAAAGCATCAGCTTAATGGGGAAAAAAAAAAGTGATTTAAGTTAGATGTCATGAACTTGCATGTAGCTTGAACCAAGCATGCACTCATGTTGATGTAGCTCAGCTGAAAAGAAATAACTTGGGAAGCCTGAGCCCTAGAAATGCTCCCTTATCCACTTTGAAGAGAGCTTCTTAGCTCTGGAGTTGGTGCATGGAGGGAACAAGACATGTCCAGTTTGAACTGTGTTTTGATACATGGGAGAGCTCATGTTAGCTCTCCTACCTTTGAAGACACGGGTCACCCAGCGTGCTTGCACCTCTGTCACAGGCATCATGGCTCCTAATGTCTTGATCAGCCCAAGGATAGCCAGGGTGGGCCTCTGCAGATGGGTTGGGAACACATATTTGTAGAGGGATGCATGTTTGTTTTCCACCTTGATGATTGCTTCTTCTAGAAATGGGAAGGAGACATTGTAGCCTGTGCAGAAGACAACAATGTCAATGGGCTCCTCCTCCGGGCAGTTGTGGAAAACAACCGAGTTGTCCTTGAATTCCTTCACGCCTGGCTTGATGGTGATCCTCCCTGTCAAGATGTAGCTTGGCAGGTCATCATTCAGCACAGGCTCGCGCACAAGGCAACTGTGGAGAGCCAAGGGGTTCTGAGCATTAGAGACCACAAACAAGCCTTGCCAATGCCCCTGCTCCCACCCTGGGCTTTCCAGCCCTAAGATCTGGTGTCACTTGCTCTGAGATAACAGCCCTGCCTTCCCACTCTTCAAACACTGACATGTTTCACCCTTGCACCAATGTCACCCTGTCCCACAGCCTGAATGACTCATGGACATCTCCTGCCTTCTTCGTCCATTCACTCAGTTATGCTTTAAACCATCTCTTTTTCAGAGCTGATCCATGCTTTAAACATCCCTCCTCCTCTTTTTCCAGAGAGTCTCATGAAGAAAACTCCTCTGGTCCTTCTCAGGCTTTGCCAGTGTGCTCCATCTCACACCACAGCTTATTTTCTCCTGCTGGGCTACAAACTCCCTGCTGGAGATCACTCCAGTCTGGGCATTGGTTGCTGCATTGGTTGATGTTGGTTGCTGGAGATCTCCCTGCCCACAGCACAAGCCCTGTGATACCGCCTGGGGTGGGAGCCACCAAGAAATACCTTTGCTCTGGTTCAAGGCCATAGTTTTTGTGATTGAACCACTGGTTCACCCTGTAGTTAATCAACCACCATGAAAGGGGTCTGGGGAGACTGTTTCTTATCAGGCTCATAAGGCGAGTGTTGAAAACCATGTCCCATGGGTAGCCATGGTCAAACACACGACTGAAAACCCAGGCACCTCGGCTGGTGCTAACAGTCACCTAGGAGAGAGCAGAAAATCAGCGATTCAGGTGATGAATTTGCTGCTTTGTCTTTATAAAGTAAGCCCAGAGGGGCATGGCACAGACAGCTATGCAATGAAAAAGCAGCAACAGCATCCTTAAGACCTCCCAGCAGCTGGAGATGGATGTGAAACAGGAGAGGACAACTAGCTTGCTTTCAAGGGTAGGTTTTTGACCAAGAAATACAGGTTCATAAATACTGTTTGGACACCATGCAGGGTAAACCCAGCTTGCTCTCCCCGTGAGGGTGGCAAATGAGCTTTTACCCCCACCATCACCTTCCTCGCAACTCTGGGGGGTGGTACCTTTGCAGCGACACGGCTGGCCTCCACCGCAATGTCCACTCCTGAATTGCCCATGCCAACCACAAGGACGCGCTTCCCCTGAAATATGTCAGGATGCTTGTACTGTCGGCTGTGAAAGTACTGGCCTTGAAACCTCTCAATGCCTTGGGGAAAAATAACAAAGCTTTTAATTACTTGAGCATTTGTGGGTTTTGTTGAGAGAACTGGCATAGAAACAATGAAGATGACAAGAGCAAGGAATTGCAATTACTGGCCATCAGGGACTCTGATAGGTCCACCCCTTCATCCCACCCACACAGAAATGGTGCTTCCTCTCAAAATTGGGGTCTCCCTCATCTCTGTGCAGCAGCGAGCAGGAACACGTGTGCTGGGTGGTACTTAGACAACAGTTATATAAAAGAGGTGTGCTGGTGCAGTTTTGGGATTCAGCCTTTATGAGATGGGGACGCAAAGTTTCAGAAAAGCAAATAAACCTCTTCTCCTGTCCTATGAGTGGCTTCAGAAGCATTTGATAATGCTGATGACAAGGCAACTCTCTCTATGCTGGCAGCTGGGGAAATTCATTAAGGTAGTGATGAATACAGCCCTGTCAAAGATGATGGCACTTCACTGAGAGGACCTTGTCCCATCTCACATACAGTGCAGACAGTTTCTTTAAGGCTAAATTATCACACCTTGAAAGTTTCCTCTGAAGTGACCAATGCCTTCTGAGGCATGAGGACATATTGCAGTTCATGCCAGGAGGTTTGAAAAGCAGAAGCAAGAAAAGGAAAGAGTATTTTCTGTGAGGAACCACTAATCCTTCTCCCTCCAGACCCTGGAAGCAGGTAAACACAAGCAGCCATGTACCATACCGGGAAAACAGTGCAGGGGGAGGTATGGCTCAGAGAAATTGCCACTGCAAACCATAACAGCATCAAAGACATGAAATGTCTGCTTCCCCTCCACCTCCGTGACTACGTCCCACTGGCCCGTGGTGGCAAAGTCAGGGTGTTTACGGATGCTGACAACAGTGGTCTGAAACGTTGAAGCAAAGTAGAGTCACTGCTGGTGCCTGGCATGGGCGGGGAGCGGGTCAGTGCCAGGGCACCCACCACTCACCCCAAACTTGATGTGCTTCCGGAGGCTGAAGTGGTCGGCATAGCGCTGGAGGTAGTTCAGGAACTGGGCATTGGGCAGGAACACCGGGAAGTCCTCAGGGTAGGGAAAGTCAGAGAATGCTGACATCTCCTTCGAGGTGTTGCTGATGACTGATGGGTAGAGGCTTGGCCGACCAGCCTCGATGTGCTCCTGGCATGGCACCCCAGGGTGCATCAGTCCTGCGCCCTGGGGTGTGGACTGTCCTCCCGCTCCCCTTCCCCTGGTCTCAGGGAGCACAGCTGGGAGAGGTCAGCATCCAGCAAGCTCTCGCACCTTCCCCACCCGCTGGAGCCTGGCTCAACCTGCTCCCCAGCCTGCAAAGCCACAGAAAGGGAGGATGGGCACCGCCAGCTCACCGTGTAGCGCCAGAGCCCCCCGACGTCCTGGCTCTGCTCGAAACAGGTGGGCTCCAGCCCTTCATCCAGGCAGCACTTGGTGGCCGTCAGCCCACTGACACCTGCACCCACCACTGCCACTCTCATTCTTGCTGTCTCCGCTGGGCACCGGGGCTGCGAATGGGGCTTAACCTGGGAGAAACCCTGCAGACAGTCACCACCCTCTCAGGGATCAGCTGCTGGCATACCCTCTATAGGGGATTTCTCTATATGCCACCCCCAAACCTTGCATTCCTTTTCTCAGCATTCTGGGATCTTCATTTACAAGTTAGATTAAATGTCTTTAAATCTTAATTTTCTCTATTTTTAATTTTATTTTTTTTAATAAATCCATTCACTTTTACAGTAGGCTTGTCAAGCTGTCTCCAAAACCCTGCAGTTGCCCTGGAAACTTGCTTTGAAAGTATGTAGTTAAGCCACAACTCGCTGCCAGTTTTTATTTACAAGCTGTGTTTAAACTATTCCTCCTTATCAGTCTTGCAAATATTTGTATTTTATCTTTGGAGATCTGTCCCTGCCCTTCTCAGAAAAGAAAACAAAAAAATAGCACTGGGGCTATTCAGTCTCTGCATCACTGACTGGGTCCTGTCCCCCATCCCTGGGAAAGACACTCCTGACTTTGATACAGCCACCAAGCCTGATGGAGGGGCTACAGGTGTAGCACACCACAGCTTTAGGTATACTTTTGTGTCTGTCTCCCAATGCCACCCCTCTCAGGAGGTCTGGGCTGGACAGACAGGCTGTCGCAAGCCTGCAAATGGCTGCACTCTGGGACTCGAAAGGCAGGAGCCCCTAGGTTGACATCCAGCCCTACAAGGCTTCCAGGGCTGCTGTGTGAATGATGGACCTGAACCCTTGGTTGGACATTGTCAGAGTGGAGACCACCACACAGGGACCTAGGGGTGCTGCTGCAACGCCTGGTTTAACCCCAGTGCCAGCAGGGAGCACCCTGCTCAGCTGAGTTATTAACCTGGCATACTGGGATGGCACTACGGCTGGGTGGCACCGGCTCCTCTGCCCTGAGAAACACTTTCAGCTTCCACCAAACACAGAGAATGGTGTATACATGAGGGGGAAAAAAAAAAAAAAAAAAAGTCTTCAGTAGAAAAATGGGGTTGGACAAGGTATTTTCTAAAAAATACCAAATTCCCCATGAACGATTTCATCTTTCAGTAGGAAGGCAGCACCTAATGAATACGCTGCTTTCCAAGGTTGGAATTAAAACTGCACTTTTTCCTTTTTAAGTAAAGAAAGCGCTGGCATAAGCTGCTCATTGTTAACTGTTGGGGAGCAGGGAGTGTGTTGCATGGTGAGAATTATATCACAAACATCTCCCAGCTACCTATGCTATTTAATTCCCCGTCCTTTTGCAGAGAAGCTAGAAATAACATGCAGGAAACACTGTTACTTGAAGCCTGTTTCTGCCACACTTTCCGTACTGTCCCTGCAAGTATCTGTAACAGCTAACCTCAGAAGGCTCAAGCCTTGGGGTGCTTGTGTGGGGCAGGGAGGAATGCAAAGCCTTCGCAGCCCCCCCAGGGACACTTACCTCCCAGCCTTGGCAGCCTGTGCTCCGTCTCTGCAGGAAAAGTCCCTCTTGCTCCCGATTTATAGGCGAGACTCAGCGCTTTGGCAGAGTCAGAGGAGGGTGGGTGGGTCCCCCTGCCCCAGCACGGCCACCCCACTCCCACAGCGGTTGCACAACTGGGGTTTATAGTGGGAGGAGCAGCTGGACTCTCCTGCTGTCGTGCAAGGTGAGCCAGACAGCCCGGCTGATGATCCCTAAAAGGGATTGAGTTGCTGGGAGAGACTGGAGCAGACCAGATGTGTCCTGCAGTTGTGCAAGGAGAACCCACATGTGTGGGGGTGGCTCCAGCTGTGGGATCTTTTCACTTGCCTCATGACTCCCTGCCAAAAGGGAGCCAAAGAGGCCGATGAACAGCAGGGTTTCAGCAGGACTTTGCACCCAGGGCACCTTCTGAAAAAGAGAGCTGGTTTTGCAGTCATGGCTCACAGGGCGCAGAGGCTGTGTCATGCCATCGGCCACATGTACAGCTTCCAGTGGTGGGCAGGAGGCTCCCCTTGCAAGGCGGGAGAGTGAAATGGCCACAAACAGCAGTGTACCAAGGTCCTGGGCACAGAGAAAGTGGAAACGTTAGATGAAATATCAATGCAGGATATAGTACTCATCCAGGTATCTCCCAGGGATAAATGATCATGGCAACGAAGGGGGCAAGGGTGGCTTTGGATGGGGCTTTGTCCCCAGCTACTCAATATATTTAGGTGAGAAACTATGAAATCTCTGCAAATGAATACATCTGGACACAGAGACAGTGGAGAGACAGTTGACAGAAGACTGGGTCTTTAAGAAAACCAGTGTTCAGAAAAAGACATAGTGGTATTTGTGCCATGGGGGTGACAGCAGATAGCTCACTGAGTCTCTGAAGTGTGAGTGCAGAGGATGTGGTGAAAGCTGCTGGCCCCATCAAGGCATCACCTTGCCACTGACAAAGGCACTCATGGAGCAATGGGCCCAGATTGATATCAGCTCTTTAAGTAGTTTGAATAATTGAGGAGGCTGCAAGGGAAGGGGAGAAAAAACCATCTGAGGTCTGCAGAACAGAGAGTGGTAAATAAAGCAGCTCTGTCCAACAGAGACATCAGCCTGTGTTCAGATCTGCAGAGGCACAAGATGGGCCTGTGGCTGTCACTTGAAAACTGGAAGTGGAAATAAGATGCACACTGGTATCAAGGAAAGTAACTAGCCATAGAAAAAGTCTGCTGAGCTTTGTGGTGGACCCAGGCACTTGAACAAAACACATTTGGCTCATGGAGGGACAGGACCCACGGCCCCTGTGCTGGGGCACTGCTGGGAGTGTGGCAGCCTGGGCTGCCACCCGTCTGCAGCATCCACAGAGACACATCAGGCTTCTCAGGCTTCTCTACCCCAGGATCTCCCACTGTTTCTGCCCAACACCTGGCTCCTGGGTCTGCCCCTGGCAGCACATATCCAGTCTGGTGCTGGCTGTGCCAGCCATGCTCCAGCACAGCACGGCAAATGGTGGCTGAAAGTGATGCTCTTGTAGGGGCTGGAGCCTATGAAATCATACTCATTCATTTGAGGCCAGTTTTCAGACCAGTGTTGGCAGCATAAAGAAACACTGAGATTTTGCTCTCCCAGGCCACTGGGACACAGTTATTGAGGTAAATGGGCAACAAGCCTTGCACATCTTGGATGCTGTTGGGGTTTGCACAGGCTACTCCTCCCAGCTCTCCCTTCCTCTGGACTCTTCTCTAGATGCAAAAAACCTTACACCTGCAAAGATGCTTGCCAGCACTCAGTAAAAAAGAGTAGGGAATTCAAAAAGTATAATAATTTGTTCTTTATACGCTCCTGCTTTTCTGAGTTTCCCAGCAGCCATCCAGGTGACTTACAGTTAGAGACACACTGTGGCAGCTTCCCAGGAGTGGTGTTAATGCTTTTGGAAGGGCAGTTCAGAGAAGTTTTCTAAGAGAACAAGCTGTATTTTGTCATAGATGAGCTACTGGCATTGAAATGGTTTCAGATACCTTTGCTGCAGCTGCTTATAGCAGTGGTGGCTCTGGCAATTCCTGATAGGGAATCTGATCTGAAGGTGCAGAACAAGATGCAGTGAGTGGTACCATATGAGTCTAGGGTAGGAACACCTCCAAAGCCTCAGTGCCTTGGGATTAAAACTCGCTTTCCTGTGATTTGTCTCAGGTCTGTGGTGTTCCCATCCACAAATACCCCTGCAGTGATCTGGACCAGGTATGCAAAAGAAAGTATTAGTGGAGATGGACAGTGTGATAGCAGGGAGGTATTTACTGTAATTATGCACATGCATGCCCAGGGTGATGAAAAGCCCTTAGAAACACACAAGGAAATTCTGGTTGCTTTATTCACCTCTGCTGCTGGCACACCAGGGGCTGGCATCCTGGAACACCCAGGACCCATGTCTCCAGCTTCTCTCCAGGGACAGTCTGTTCAGAGCAGAAAAGAAAATAGAAGAGACAACACATCAGTGGGTTTTTATATGTTCTCAGGGCTGGAAAAAGCCTTCATTGCTTCATGTTCAAGCAGAGCATTGCTTGGTACCCTTGGGCCAGTCCCCCTGAATTTGTCATCACGAAGATGGGAATGGACACAGCCGCAGAGGTCCCTGATCCCATTTCTGAGCAAGCAGGATCTGCTGCCACCCTGTTGGGGAGGGAAGGGGGACCCTGCCATCACCATTACACACACAAACTGCTGGTGAAAATGGCCTTTCCCCTAGGGATGGAGTGAGGGCACATAATTGGGGGAACTGTTGTACCACCTTCTCCCTACCCAGCCTGGGATACCAAACATCTGGGTTTGTCCACATCCTCACATGCTCAGGCACAAGCTCTGTTAGATGTTGGGGGTGTATTAGTCATGGGGGACCACGGGAAGAGCCAGAAGCAGTAAATAACTGGTGGTGACTCAGGATGAGAACCAGGAACGGGATGCTCACACACTTGCCTGCTGGTGAGTCCCTTCTCTCCTTGAGGAACAAAGCTCCCTGGCACTGTGACACAAGCCTGGGCTCTACAATGGGTAGAGTAGAGGGAAGGAGAAACTGAATATATCCATTTTGTCTTAATCAGATGGGAAAGGCAACTTCTCTGCAAAACTCCAGCACCAGTTTTATTATCTTTGTTTAAAATAACGCTTTAGTCAAGGAGGGGAAAACCTATGTACAAACAAGTCTCAGCACAACCTATTTTGCTGTTTTCTAGGCTTGTGTTAGCAACCTTTGGCATGTGTCATGGTGAATGGGAACAACAAAAAAGAAGAGGAGTTTCCTAAGCCAGTCTCTAAGCAAGTGCTCACCATCAAGCAGCTGCTGCTGCTGCCATACACCCTCAGGAGCTGACAGGCTGTGGGGTCTGGGCTCATCAGTGAAACAAGTAATTTTTCCCTCTCCAATATTAGCACTGCCTCCCTGTACTGACTAGAAGGCTTTAATCACCATTTCTTTAGCGCACGTGGAGGTGATGCTGCCCCAAAGGTAGCTGTTGCCTCCCACTGGTTCCCACAAGGCTGTGGGATCCATGTGGTCATCCATGAGGTGAACAAAGGCTGCAAGAAGTTGCTGGTGGAAATCTAATTTTTTTTTTTTCCCATTTCTTAGACCCTGGATTTTGACCCTGAAAAAGTTGCTTATGCTTTGGCCCCAAGACCAAAAGGCAATTTCCTGCTAAAAAAAAAAAAATAAAAAAAAAAAAAAAAAAAAAAAGCGCGCAAAACCTCTACCCCAAGCAGCAGGGGCTGTTTTCCTATTTACTTTACTATACCCAGCACATAGAGGGCACTGCCAGTGACAAACGCTGGCAGGACACTTAAGTGTCTTTTTAATCAGAGCTAGGTACGTTCAATATCTTGAACTCTTCCTGAAACCTCTCAAGAGACATTGCTAGTGAGACGCAGAGGATATTCTGGAGCAGACATAGCCTGTAGCAGCTACTATGGGAGAGGGTTTTGCTTGCTAGGCAAGGAGGTCTCTGTTTGGAGGGCACAAGTGTTTTACTCCAACATACTTGGCAAAGTTTAACCTGATTTAATAATAAGTCACTGTGTTTTCCTGGCGTGTAAACTGAGGAATTTGTCAAGAGGAAGCTGCTGCCCTTGTTAAACCTATTGTGTTAATAAAGCCTGGAGAACTGCAGTTTTTAACTTCTTGGTTTGGGAGGCTCTAAAATGTACATTTAAAAGCTTTCACAGGCAAATGCTTAAAAATCTTCACAAGAACAACCATGATGGACACATATGCCCTCCCTTGCTCACCATGTCTTTGTACCAAGATTCAAAGCAGATAAACACATGCTTCACAAGTGCTATGGGAGATACACCCCAAAAACATGCAACACTAGGCAGGGCTTTAGAATCTCCTCAGCTCTTCTGAGCCAAATCTTAGTGTTAAGGGGTCTGTCTCTGTCATTTCACAGGTAATAAAACATAACTACCGAAGAGACTGTCAGAGCAAACAGGAGTTACAGTTAAGGCGACTTGTAAGCAAATAATCACAAGGAATAGCTGCCTGGAGAGCACATGGTTAAGGCATGCACAGCCCGACCAGAAGGCTCCTTCCTACCACCACCAGGTGAAGTCATCCACCAGCCTTCAAGTGTTTTCAGAAGTTCTGTCAGTGCAGCTGACCCCTTCCTGTAAATATTGACCAAGCTCCCAGGCCGGGTAGTTTGAATACTTTCAATGCCTACCACCTCTCTGAGAGCATCTCCAGCAGAGGTGTGCGCATGGTTGACATTCCCATCCCCCAGCACAGGAACACAGCAGCACTCCTAATTCAGGCAGAGACATGTTCCAGCACCACCCCAGCCTCCCACCTAGGAGCACTTCTTTGCATTTATTCCCAGAAATTAGGTTTTTTAAGAGGACAAAACTCCCAACACTAAGCAAAGTGCTACTCTCAGACCATTCAGAAGTACCTTGCTGAAGAGCCAGCACAGGCACTGTGAAGCTGGTTAGCTCACATCAGCTGGCAGACTTTCTTTCACCTCCAATAGCTTCACTAGACCCTAGGAGACAGGATGGGAAGGGACCTCAGGAACATCTGACCCATCTTCTCCAAAAGCAGCTCTAACTGACCTTCACAACTTTTTTTTTTTTTTTTTTTCCTTCACCTGTTTTTAAAACATCTGGTGATGGGGACTCCAGCCCCTCCCACCTAACTTCATACTTGCTTTTGGAGTGGTCATCAAGCTTTCGCTTATCTCCACAGCAGAGACAAGCTGTTAGCTGACATTTGGAGACAACTGGATTTTGCAGCACCACCTTTCTATCAGTTTAAATAGGAATTTTCCAGATTAAATTGATAGAAGAGGTCTGACTGGCTCATTCCTTGACTTGCTAATTGGCCTGAGAAGCTGCTGAGCACTTGCAGTTGGTTCTGAGGCCTTGGGGCTGCTCAGCACCACTGAAGAGTAACCCCATTGGCTGATGTTTCCTATTTGTATTCTGGAAATTATTTTTTATGTAGAAATTGTTCTGCAGAGGTCAGAGTATTGGATTATTTCTTTGAGAGCTTCACCCAGCTGATGAGATCAGGGTTGGGAGAGATTGGACTATCATGGCCAAGGCAGACAGACTGCAAATAAACTAATGGACTGATGGCATGAGAGGGTGGGTGGCAGGAGGAAAAACTACAGCCCAAACGTGCAGCAAGGAGACATGATGCTGCTGGGGAAGCTTGTGAGCCATTCTCTGCCCCTTTTGTCCCCTCTGACTGTAAAGAGAAGGGACACATTGACCTCTGCAGGGGTTGAAAGAAAAGAACCTGGGACTTACAGTTTAATCCATACAACATGTATCTGAGAACAGGAGCAACGACAGGTGGAATAACCTGGCAATAGCTGCTCCTAATGAATATCTTTATCTGAATCAGATCTGGGACAGACAAATCTTGAGACCTGCCACCCCATATCTGCCTTTCTAAAGCTATACCGACTCTCTAATGCTTCCACCTGACAGACTTGTACTCACCCTTGCTGAAGGACTCCCATGGTTTTGTTCAGGTTGCAAAATATGTAATCAATTCCACAATACAACAATGACAACAAAACCTTTTTTGTCTGGAAGGATTAGTGTCCAGAGGGTAAATAATGGGTTGATCAGAACTAGAGACAAGACTTCTCTCCTGTCCTGTCTTCCCAGGGATCAACTTCTGTGTCCCCTGCACTCAGAAATACCTGTATTATGGGACTGGGTCATAGTCCTTGTGGTGAAACCACCTGCTTGTAACACATTGATCACAAAATACAACAAAATTTAATGATAACAAATACATAATAAAACTATTGTTCCTCTTTTCTAAAGAGAAAGTGTGGCTCAAAGTGGTGTTGGTCTGCAGGACACAAACCCCAGCATTTTCATGCTCCGTATTTTACAATAATTCTGATAATCACTGCTATAGCTGTTTTCCCTGGAGACATTTTGAAATATTGCAGTATTGCAAAACAGAGTGTCAGCTCCAGGAGGTGACCTCAGTGCATAGGGAAAGGCACCACCAGGACTGACTGCCCAGCAGGGACCATTTTGGAGGGGCCCAGCTTCTCCTTGGCCTCTGGGGAGAGCCCCACCACTATGTCCATCCCCAAATTCCCCAGACCAAATGCCAAAATGGTCTTCCCTTCGCATCCCTCAGGGGTCTTGTGGAAATACTTGCCCTTGAACTTCTCAATGTCTTCAAGAAGAAATAAAAGGAGTGTCCAGGGCTCTAGGAGCCTTGAATTGCAATATTCAATACAACTTTGGGTACAATCAAAAATCCAAGGGTGCTGGGACACAGACTTTGGTGGTGGTGACATGGCAGACTATATATATTGGGTCAAGGGACAGAGGAAAGGTGGGTGAAGCCAGGACTGAGCTGAGGGGTCCATTTCATTGCTTGCTTCAGGACCACTGCATTACAGAGTAGCCTTTGCCCAAGCTCAGACAGTTCATAGGAAACACATCCATCCTTGACAAAAAAGAAGCTATGATATTGCTTCAATAAAGAAGTGAATGAATGCAGCAAATGTCAGTTTTCAGAAAAGCATGTAAATGGCCTGTAAAAACTATTGAAACATTGTCTTGCTGCTGCTGAGACAGCAGAAATGGGAGCCACTGTTTGCTAAGTATTGCAAAAGAACCACATTATTTTTTGGCAGAGGTTTAAAGATGGCTAGAGGAGGCGAGCTGGAAACATGTGCTCCGCCCCAACAGCTCTCCTGCAAAATGCAGCATCACACAGTGATGGAACCAGCTCAGAAACAGACCACTCTCCATTGCCCTCCTCTCTCCCAGATAAACACCCCAAGCTCAGAAGCCATCTCCCAGCACCCTATTTCACAACGCCAATGTGCAGGACTCGCACAGCCCCGCTTCTGCAAAATGGCAGGGATGTGCAAGGAAAAATGCTGGGATTACAAACAGCCTTTTTGCAGTAAACCCAGAAGGTACCCCCTGCCCTGCCCACTGGGTGGGATTTTGCCAGCATCTCCAGTAATGGGCTGTGTCAGGGATTTAGCTTGGGAGAAAGTGGGGAAGCAGCTACAGTGGTCTTTTTTTGCAGCCTCCCCTTCAAGACAAGTGGACTTCTGGAGAAGCGTGTGAGCAGCTGTCATGGTTTAAAACCAGCCCAGCAGTGTAGTAACCCATCTGAGGACCACAGGTCTGCATCGCCTGCCTCCTGCACTGGCTCCCAGTAACAGCTGCACAGTCTCCAGGAATGCCGTCAGTTCTGGGCTTTACCAATGAAACCAGAAACACAAGCACAAACGGCTGTGATGATATATTTTCAAAGGTCCAAGTCTCGTTTTGTGAGGCATAAGGGAGGAATAATCCAATAGTGGTGAATCATCCACCTCGTGCCACGTGGCGTTTGTGTCAACAGCCAAGTACAGCTGCTGTAGCCCCACTGCATTGGACACAGCACCGAGGTGTTGGAAGGGGACGGTGCTGGCTGAGCATTTGGGCTGTTCCTCTTCTTTTCCACAGACCATGCAGGATGGTGTCTTTCCAGCTTCATAGCAAACTTCCATTTTCTTCCAGCCAAAGACGGGCTGAAGCATTTAGGTTCAGCCCCTCTAGTGGGGTGTAGGCTGGGTCCCAGGCACCAGCAACCCTAGCTGGCTGTGGATGGGCCAGCCACATACCCAGCTTTCCACCTTACAGCTGCTCAGCTGATATTAGTCTGGAAATACCGGGTACATATGCAGCTTGTTAACCCTGCTCCTAGACATATGTCTCTACCAGCACTATATGAACAGCTTTTACCTCAGATGGACTCCAGCAGGACATGTGGATGTATATGGTGACCAACACCAACCATCACAGCATCAAAAATGGCCAGTTCCTTCTATCACTGACAACAAACCACTGACAGGTGGTTGAGAAGTCCTGGTATTTATTTTTTTATCCTGATGACTGTAGTCTGAGAGGAAGCTATAGCAAATAGATCAGTACTTGGGTCCCCACATGCTGTGTGATGCTGATGCAAAACAGGCAAAGCTGGATGTTCAGTTGTGCTTCCCATCTTCACTTGCCCTAAAACAGCTGGACCATATATGAGGAACAGGTCAGCTCAGGCCTTCTTGGCTTGTTCCCCTTGAATTGGTGGGGGATTTCTGGAAAACAAGCATTTACTGACCCACATAGGGACAGAGAGCTCGACCCTGGCAGCATAGTGCATGGGGAGCAGGCAGGCATTTCCCTAGCAACAGTGCTGTTGCCTCCCACCATTTCAGCGACCTCTGGGCCATGGGAGGCAGGTTGAGCTGGCAAACTGGTCCTTGCTAGGTGGAGCACTTGCTTCAGCAAAGCAAAAACAATGGTCACAGAGTTTGGTCTGCAGGCCGCTGTGCAGGTTCTCTTGATCTACACTCAGCAGGCCTCAGTGTTGGCATCCCCAGGGCATACAGGAGCAGCAATGTCATGAAATTCTGGCTTATATTCTGCCATTTTGGAGTAATCTGGTAATGGTTGAAAGTATCATGGTTTGTTACTGATTTTGCATGTGTAAAATGATTGTTTGAATAGCAGAGGAAGGTGGAAGCTAGTGTGAAAAGGAAACATGGGACACATCTCTGCTCTGCAAAGGACTACATCACAGTGTCTTTGTTTGGAGGGATGCTGTTGGGCTTGGGAGTTTGGCCCCGTTGTGGGTTTGCACACGTGAGAACAGCTGCAGAACAGAGGAATTAAAAAATAGCAGCTGGGTATATCTTCCCATGATCCTCTGGTCAGCAGTAACACCCTGCACTCTGCCTGGGGAAGAGAAGTGTAGCCATCATGCTCTCAGCAGTGCAGACACAGGCTGTGACCTCATGTCTGAAAATGATGAGGTCATCCAACTTATTTTGCAGATGTAAGCCAGCCCCAGAGAGCCCCTGTGACAGCCTGGCCCACATCCATTTATTGACTGCACCTGGGGAAGTGGGGCTCCCTGCCTCCCAAATCCTCCTCTTTCATTCCCTGACATCTTCTCTGCTTGCCCCACACCTCCCCATTGCATCCCACAACTCCCAGTTCCAGCTCCAACAGCTGCCTCTTCTCCCCACTACCCTTTCTTTCACATAACCTGTACTTTGGCTTGCCAAAGGGAAGGGCTCCCAACCCCCATCGTGTTTGGTGTGGTTCCTGCCAGCACCCTGCAGCTCAGCGTAAGGCAAGCAGTGACATCCCTCACCACCACAGTCTGTGGCCTAGGTGGTTAACAAGGCTGCTGTCATCAGCTAGAAAGAAAAATCACACTGATAACCCCACACACAGCTTGTTAGCTACAAGAGAATTTAAAAAACTGATCAGATTATGCCACTATATATTTTTATTTATGTTTATTTCTGAGATAGTACACCTGAGGTTTTCTGAGTTGGACCACAGTCATAAGAAAAGATTTCTTCCCACCCAAGGTACGTATCATTTGGACTTGAGAAAATAAGAACATGCAAACCCCTTAATCTCCTGTCAGGAGGAAGTGTGTTAGCAGAGCACTCAGGCAGGGGCACTGAAAAAGGGAAGACAGACATACTTGTCGTCTCACTTCCAGGGCCAGAGCTCACAGTAATTATATTATTTTGCATTTATGTGGTGCCTTTCATGAAACCATGGAGCATTTTGCAAAGCTACAAGTTACTGCTGTATGGAGAAAAGATGAGATGCCAGCAGCTGCCTGCAGGAAGAGCACTTCCTGGAGAGCACCAAAATTACACCAAGGGCTGGTTTCATCCCCAGGCAGATGGATGTAAAGAAAAAGCCCACAGGATCTGGCCACAACAGGGGTTCAGCAGCTTACCAGGATCAGTTCAGCTCCTCCCCACTTTCTCAGGTGAGGGTGAACCTTGGAGGCTTTGTCACTCCCAGGCTGCGTAATTGGGCAGATGGCACATCCCTATCACCCCTGGACAAACCTTGGGATGGCCATAGAGAGGAGCAAGCCAAGGTGCAGGTGCCCATCCAAGCTGTTGCTGCAGGGCTGTGGGAATCAGAGCAGCTCAGAGGGATCTCTCCAAGGATGCTCTTGCCACAGCTGCAGCAGCCATGGCACTGAGTTACACATCCCCGACTGGGCCAGGCATTTTGGCTGGAAGACACAGTCCATCTCAGCTTTCAGATGCACACATTCCATCAAAGTCCAGATGTTGTTTTGAGAGGTGATGGGCTGTTTATTTATATAGCAGAGTATTCCCCTTGATATCTTAATCTGAATTTTTTTTATTTGGGCATCTTTCCCCACTGGAGAAAAACATGGATGTTTTTCTTTACTTGTTATGATAATTATTTTTCAAAAGGGCCAATTGAGGCAAGTTCATTTCAGCTGGAGCACATGCTCTACATCAACCTTTCTTAAAAAAACCCAAAGACATCGACTCTAGTTTTCCACTGGTAAAGAAACAGTAAATAAGGAGATTTAATGATGTGTAGCAATGCATCACCACTTGGACACATTTAGAGGGACAGAATAACCAACATTACTTACCAGGGCTGGTATTTACACTTTTTCATAGCCCTAGCTGAAAGGGATGGAGATTGCACCTGATTTATTGATGCCCATTTTTTAAGGGATTTCTTGATGAATTATTTCTGGGGTAATGAGCAGGGCAGCAGCACACACTGCCCAGCAGGAGAAAGCATCCCACACATGCACACTGCTCAGTACTCCTGCATCCCTCCATCCCTGCAACATCTCCCCAGGGTCCCCTAGCAGTAAAGGGTGACAAGGAGGAGGAGGAGCAGGAGGAAGAACACCCCCAGCACAGCCTGGCAGGGGAAGGCAGTGGGGGCCACAGGTGTGACACGTGTCTGTGTGGCCCGTAGTATTTGGTCCCACTGGGTGAGGATGGCCTTTCTGGCCCCACTCCACTTCCCCGGGCCCCTCAGCCGAAACTGGTAGGGGCTGCAGGGGCCAAAGAAGACCTCCAGGGCCAGCCGTGGGTCTGTCAGCAGGAGCTTCAACACACTGGGCTTCACACCGATGGCCAATGCCAGCTCGTCCATGTACGTGACAATCTGTCTGCAGCGTGGTGCTGTTCCCATACCTTTGGGGGAAGAGAGGAGAAGATGAGAGGCATTGCTTCAGCTTTTTTCCCTTTTTATAAAAAAAAAAAGTACAGGGAAGGCAGAGTCTGTCCCCTGCTCTTCCTTGCCAAAGCTGGGGAGCAGAGCTGCCTGGGGTACATGGCTCCAGGGGACACGCATCATTGCTGCTGTTGGTGGAGGAATCTGGCTCACAAGAAAACTGTGTTTTGAAACTTCCTACAATGCAACGGTTTCTAAAAACAGAAGAAAACATTGCTTGGGCCAGGTTCAGCTTTCACTGGTTATATTAGTATTTTTAAGGTATTGCTTCACTATAATATCAGATAGACTCAGAGAGGGGGAAAGCAAGGCATTTCATGGACTTTATGAAACAAAGTGTCACTTTCAAGAATAATGATGGAAATGTTCTACTGCTGCTGAGGCCTCACCGTGATTGTGTGTGAATGAGAAATGCTTTTTCAGCATCTGATAATGCTCAGTGATGGCAAATGAGCCTTTTTAGACAGGAAATATTTCCATCATCAATTTTCCACCAAAACTTGCCTGATTCAGATCTCCAAGTGGCCAGTGGAAACATATCCACCGACACCAGTGAGCTGGTTGGGGCTATCTCATTGCAGAGGGTCTGCCTGTAGGTCTAAAACATGAAGAGGGATTTTCAAAGGACCCTCCTTGGATGGAGCTGCCTGTCCCTTGCTCACAAACTGCCCCCACAGTAGCTCACCCATTGCCTGCATCCAGACCACCTGGGGCTGAGACAATGGCAGGGCTCTTCTGTCAGCACAGGGAGACCTGTGATCTGCACTTCCCACTACAGCTCTTCCCCCATCTTCTCAATGTCATCCATCATCTGACTGACTGAGAGGAGCATGCAGTGCCCTGGAAAGAGCAAGAAGAGCATCAGCAAAGGAAGATGATGTCCAGGAGATTCCTCCTGCAGCAGGTGGGGTTTGCAGAGATCAGCTAAGCTCTTGGGTGTCTCTCTTCCCTATGCAGTCAAGATCTGGGCTTGGGTCAAGCATGGATGTTGAGGATGTGACAATACTGGCTTCCCTGTCCCCCAGGAAGCCCCACCACAGGGACCTCACTGCCCTCTGCAGTAGACTGAGAGGTGACCTGCTCCCACAGTGCAAGGCACCCCTTCACATGGAGGTGCCGTTATTGGTATTTCTGGCCAAACCCCATTGTGTTCTTCAGCACTCAGGTACTGCCTTGATTTTCAGTATGAACCTGCACATTGCTGCTTGGAAATGCTACTTCCCATTGACAGAAAGTAGACTTTTGCCCAGCATATGTCCATCCACCTACCCTAAAACACCTTGATTGCCCAGTGGCACTGTAGGTCTGCTGTTGGGATGATAGGTCCGAGGGACTGGACCAGCCCAATGACTGCTATGGTTGGCTTCTCCAGATGAGGAGGGAGGATACCTTTGTAGAGGGTGACCTGATTGTCCCTGCTTTTGATGATGGAATCATCCTCATGAAAGGGTAGGAGTAACTGTAACCAGTGGCAAAGACTACCACATCAACATCATCCTGCACAGTCACATCTTCAAACAAGACAGATGTTTCTCTGAACTCTTTCACATTCAGCTTCATCACCACTACCCCGCAGGCAATGTGGCTCAGAAGGTCATCATTGAACACCGGCTCCTTTCAGGAAGTTCTGCAAGGGCAAAGGTAGTGGGGCTGTCACAGAGGTGATTCTGCTGCCAGCCCAGGATAGGCACAGTCCAGCCCCATCCAGAACCAGCACCCCTGGAGGGGTTTGGGGATGGATGGCCCTGTAAGTACCTGTTCAGTGGCATGAGTCCAAAGTTCTCACGCTTGAAGAACCGGTTCATGTCTCTCACATACAGCCAGTCACTGAGCATGCTGGGGAGGATGTTCCCCAGCCAGGTCCGGAAACAAGTGACAACCATCATGTCCCAGGGGTAGCCATTGTCCCAAACACGGCTCATCACCCAGGACCCACTTCGGGAACTCAGACCTGGAGGGACGGCCAGATAGGGATGAGTCACCTTTGCAACAACTGCAAGCCCCCAGGGCTGTAGCACATGCTCAAGCAGATGAGGATCCCCCTTTCCCCAATGACTCTGGGGCAGGTCCCTGTACCTGTGATGCCACAGTGCTGAGCTCCACAGCAATGTCACTGCCAGAGTTGCCCAAGCCTACTACCAGCACTTTCCTCCCCCTGAATTTCTCTAGCTCCTTGTACTCTCAGCTGTGGAAGTAGCAGCCTTTAAACTTCTGTATTCCTGGGGAAGAGAACAGAAAGGGTCATAATTCACCCCAGGAATGAAAAAGAGAGGCTCTGTTGGCTTTGGGATCTTCCCTTCCTGCAGATGCTGCTGAAGTATCCATCTGAGTGTTTCTCACAGTAAGAGATATCTCCTGTACACAGAGGGATGTTACCAACCCATAGTCCAATGAGGTCTGCCTCTGGCTTCATTCAATATTTAAAGAGAAGTAGTGTGCAAGCACAGGATACCTTTGCATGGCATTTTTATACTCCAAAAAGGTTATTACTGCAACCCCAACATCACCCCAAGGTGACTGGACAGTCACCCTCCACCCCCTTGGTGTGACTTTATATCCTTGCAGTATTGAGCAACAGGGAATCAGCATTCATTTAAATAAAAGAGAAGATGGCAAAGGACCTGAGAGGAGATTTCCTGACCAGCCAGTGCCTCAAGCCTGTGTCCTTCAAACAGACTCCCAGGCCCAAATATTTCTTGCCAGAGATAAAATTTTTTCCCAATAACGTGCCTGTACACAGAGAGGCAATGGCTGTCAGGTAAAACGTATGACATTTGTACCAGAAATAGTGGGAAAACACCAAAAAGTGTTTTACAAAATAGTTTTATGAAAAATCAATCCTCTATTAAAGGAAACACCATGAAATAATATTTTCTGGGAAAGATTAGCATTGTCTCTAGTGAAAACACCCCTGATTTCATACCATTTGGATACTAGATCTTTTTTCTTTAAAAAAAAGTTTTGATTTCCTGAACAGAGCCATCCCCCAAAATAGCACTCTGAAGGGCAATACTTGTTATAATGCTGAAAAGGCTTTTTTTTCAGGGAAAAGCATTGTGATGGGAGATATTTGCCTGGCTATGTCCTGGTGGATGAATTACACATGTGCAGCTTACCTAGGAAGTCATCGAGGGGGAGGTTTGGGTAGACATGATGCCCAGAGCAAACCATAACAGCATCAAAACCCGCTGTCTCTTCCTTTCCATTTCTCTGGGTCACTACCTCCCATTGCCCAGTCACAGAAAAGCCAAGGCGTTTTTTAACCTTGATGACCAGGGTCTTAAGGGAAATGAAAGAAAGAGATCCATGGGTGTCTGTGCAGAGCAGACTGTGTTTTAAGTAGTCGGTGGGATTCAGAGGTCCTGGGGAGCCCAGGGAATGTTTGCCCCTGTGATTTCATGCTGGCAGCTCTGGGGAGTGTAGAGGACAGGGAGTTGTTGAGACTTGGTTTAACAAAACCAGGAAGTATTCCCCTGGAATATTTTGTCCCAGGATTTTCCCTATGGCAGGGAGGCCTGGGCACAGAGATGATGTCCCTCCTGCTACTCACTACCCTTCTCCACTCCAGGCTTTTTACCTTGAACCATATGTGCTGGAGGAGGTCAAAGTGCTCGGCGTACTTGCAGATGTACTGCTGGAGCCTGGTGTTGTGTATATAGTTGGGGTGGTCATCAGGGAAGGGGAAGTCAGAGTAACACATCATCTCTTTGCAAGAGTTGGTGAAGATGGTGCGGTAGATGCTGGCTCTGCCTTCCTCTGCCTGGTCCTGGAGGGAGAGGAACATGGATGTGCCCCATGAGGAAGGACATGGCCTATCCTTGTCCTGGAGCCCTGTAACAACTCCTCCATATACCATGACCCCTTGTCCTCCACCTCCAGGCTGGAGCTGGAGAAAAACCTCAAAAGTCATCAGGTGCAATAACATAATAATTCCCTATGAGCACAGAAGTGTCCTAACAGGCTGGCGGGAAGATTTGCATGACCTAAGGCATTTAGGAGCTGATTACATGTGCATTTGCCCAGGAAAATGGAAACCTCAGGGTAAGGGAATGCTGTGGAAGGACCATGCCAGAGCCTCTCCACTGCATGTCCAGAAAGCCTCAGAAGGTTGGGTGTAACGTCCATGCACACAGACACATACAAAATACCACAGGAGACAAGTAACATGGGACCTCCCAGTGCTCAGCTTCCTCCTGGTCTGCCTGTAAAGCTTCCAGAATCCCACAGATTCTCCTGGACATTGCTTCTTTGTGTGCGCAGTATTGGCAATTGCATAAGCGAAGGCAGCAGCCTGGCTGGGCGTGTTTGCTTTGGTTCAGCGACTCAGCTGCCCACACTTTATGTGGGCAGGTCTGACTGGGGGCACAGACAGAGGCTTGTATCCCACTGCTAGCAGTGCCTGTGCCAGCCAGTGTCCCCCTGACATCTAGAAGGGCAGGACATGGGGGATCTGCTGAAATCCTTAAGACCATCATGCATGCAATGGGGCTTGGGCAGGCCTGGTCCAGTCCTGCCAGAATGGCCAGCCCCACACATCATCCTGTCCCCATCAGGGGAGCACTTGCTATGTCTGCCCTGACACTCAGCATTTAACAGCATGACACAGGTAATGCATTTCCCTTTCCTGATTGTTTTGATGGCAGGACAGAGCTGGGAAAAATGCAGTAAGGTTTCTGCACTGGAAAAATCCATATTTGAGGTGGCCAAAAGACTACCAACTTCCAATAAAAGAAAAAACCCCAATCCACATAAGGAGCTGAAGTGTTTTTGACTTTTCCCCCTCAATGGCAATATTAGTTTCTGAAATTCTCCATTATTAATATCAAAATGTATTGCCAAACTTTCTGGAGGAATTTGCTGGAGCCCTCCCCAGAAAAGACAGAAAACATGTGGTCCATGCTTTGATATGAATCAAACATTTCAGATCACCCAGAACAAGCTTTATGCCCTCCCCTCTGCCCCAGAGTTTAACTCACACAATCTCAACTCCTTTCCCTAATGGCACCCCAAGCTGCTCCTGCAACTGCAATTGCATCCCAAACCATGTCCTGGCTCCAGTCTGCCAGCAGGCATAGTATGAGATAGGTCTGGGTCCAACCCTCTAATTATTCATTTGGGTCCTTTTCGACTCTGTGGTGCACAGCCACTACATAAAAGCACACTGAGAGGTATCCTGAGCAGCAGTGAGTGCTCCCCAAGGCAAGGTGACTGTTGGCAGCCCTACAGCTCCACGAGGTGACTTTTGCATGGCCTGAAGGACTGCATTTTGGAGCCATCACTATCTCCATGGGCTTTGAGAGGAGCAGGAGTGTGTCCTCGGTGCAGCCCCTTAGCCGCAAAGAAGCTGGCAGCTCCCTTCGTCCCTAAAGAAGAGAGGGTGACAGTTCAGAAGGGACTTGACTTGGCTGAAGCAGGTGGCTCAGTGAGGCAGGGGACAGTTGGGCTGGCCCAGTGTGAGGGAAGGGATCTGGAGACCTGTATTGAACCACCCAAGCCCTCCCACATGCAGCCATCAGAGCAGAGCAAGCGGGTGCAGGTGTGCAGGGTGCAGCTGAGCACAGCCTCCCAGCCCTGAGAATACAGGTTTCCCCAGGCAGCTCTGAAGCCAGGCATCCAAAGCCACTCACCTCATAGCGCCAGAGCCCCCCTATGTCCTCGATCCGCTCGAAGCAGGTGGGCTCCAGCCCCTCTTCCAGGCAGCACTTGATGGCTGCCAGCCCACTGACGCCTGCACCCACCACCGCCACACCATGCTGTCCGGCCTGTGGAGAAATGGCTGTGGTGGAGCTGAGACCAGCTGGGCATGCTTACCCAGGTGGGTCTACAGCCCCTGACAGTGGCCTGTGGGAGCAGGGCACCTCCACTCCAGCACAATTACCCCAGCTTCTTAAATAACCTTGGGGGGTGGGGTGGGGTGTGTGTGTGTGTGCGCGTGTGCATAGGCACAGAGCTCCTAAATTAGGAAATAAAACATTGAACTGAAGTTATTGCAAGATAGAGCCCAGAGTCACTGAGCAGCAGCAGCCAGCTCTGGCCCATGAGACAAGCAGCATCTCCCACATCTGTGCACACACACATATCTCCAAAGTGGTATGATGATGCCTGTATTATCAAGAAGAGTGGGTAGGACCAGGCTGCCCAGTGTCACCCCATCCTTCCACCCCAGCACTTCAGTTATTCCCCTGCAAAGAGGGAAGCTGGCTGTGTCACCCCAGGGACAAGCCACCCCAGCATTGGGCAAATTCCTGTTCAAAGTGTCTGACCACTTCTCCTCTTCTAATAAACTGGACAAGCATGTTTCAGAGGACATCTGTAGGGAAGGACAAAGCACAGGCAAGCACAGAGGAGTCTACAAATCTCAATCCATCTCTGCACTCTTCATATAAGTCTCATTGTAAGTTCATCCATCAAAAACCTGCCTCCAGGCAGGTCCTGGGGGACAACTGTTCAGCTGGGGGTATGCCCATTTGAAAGTTACTGGAGCCTCTGAAGCTGTTGAAGATGGGCTGTTAATTCATGAGGAATTGACTTGAAATAGAGTGGAGAATGCCAGAAAAATGATTGAACATCCAAAGTGGAAAAAAAAAGAAAATAGCTAGTTTTTCCACTATCTGCCGAATTAGTTGGGCTTTCCAAGGTAATGCCTTTGGAGTCATGGTTGGGTTGACTTAATACAAACAAACTGCCAAGCTGTCTTTATGAATTCCCATCCTAGAGGAGGTGTGGATCCTCTGCTGCCAGAACACAACCTGGAGGACGAGAAGGACTTCTATGAATTAAGAGATTTGTCAGAAAATTAAACCCAGGAGCAATGCACAGCAAGAGAGCACGCCTGCTCCTGGCCCTGGCATAGGGATAAGAAAGGTCAACCCAAGGCAGAGGGAGGGGAACAAAGGTGCAGGAAGAGTCAATCATTTATCCAGAGTGACACAGCTGTCAAGTGTCAGAAAGAAAAAGATCCTGAACCAATTGACTTATTTTTTGCAAAAGAAAAAAACACTTTGGAGGTTAATTTAAATTAAGTTAAGCTAATTTAAAAAGGGCAAACAAAGGGTAGGAGAACTGCAAGTGTGGGAAAGCAGAGAAAAGGAAAAAAGTTAAGGTGTTCAAAAATTCCAGGGGAAAAAAAATAATCAAAAGCTTCAACATTCCTAGAGAGTTCTGCCCAACATCTGCAAGCTCCTGTTTGGCTTTTCACCATATGCTACAAGAACGCAAGAGCAGAGGGGTTCCTAACCTTCAAAGGAGCAAGAACAGTGGGGAAAAAGCAGTCTCACCTACAGAAAACCTGCCTTCTTCCAGTCCAAAGCTGCCTCACACCAGTGGCATGGCTGAGGCTGGAGGTGGTTTCCTGCAACACTCAGAGGGAGTCACAGCGTTACAATGGGAATCCTACTGAGGACAACTGCCACGACAGGAGCCACAAGATGCCAATGGTATGGTTTGCCCTGGTGCATGCTGTGACCCCAGCCCCACGCACAGCTTGTGCAGTTGCAGCTCTCTCTGTGCTGGCTGCCTTCAGGGCTGCTGCACCAAGAGACACATGTATTCATTAACCAAGGGCTGGTGCGGATGGTGAGCAGAGGTCACTGGCCACTACAGCTGGTCACCATGTAGTTGCTCTCAACCCTTCTACTGACATCAGCAGCAAATCAGAGGGTGAAAAATCCTTCCATTTTGACCCCTTTACTGCATGTGAAGACTCCCTGGGACAGCAGCTGGAGGGATACTTGGCCCAGAACCTGGCTGCAGGCTGCCACACTGCTTCATCTGGACCAGGTTCTCCAGTGCTGAATGCAGCACAAGACCTACAGCAAGAGCCAGATGCTCCCCCAAGAAGCATTTCAGAGAAAACAGCCAGGAAGAGGAGGATCCCCTCCCTGTGCCAAAGGGGAATAAGCCCCAGTGCAGTACCTTGACTGCAGCAATTGGCCTATGGCCAGGTGGGTGCCATGCCAGCCAGGAGCAGCCTTCAGCCTTGCAGAGGGCACATCCCTGGGGCCTCCTCTGATCTGGCCAGAGCACTCCACCCCAATGCAACCACAGAGCCACAGCTGGACTCTCAACTCCATTGGCAGCCGGGAATAAACCAAACTTGCTAGAGGTGCCGCTGGCCCAACTGGGGAGTGGTGGGAGCTGTGCCCCACGGGTGCCCATAACTCCTGTGGGGCCACCAATCAGCTCCTCCTGCATGCATCCCTTAGTCTCTGCTCAGCCCTTTGATGTGCAGCTACATTGTTCAACCATCTTTGAAGCCCAAAATGAGAAACACCCCTCGCGGAGGCTAGGCAAAGCCCTCCAGAGCAGCCAGCAGCACTGCAGCAGCCATGGCTGATCAGGGACAATAAATCCACATCTGGAGCTACACAAAGCGAGGCAGTAAACAAGAATGTTGACTTCACATTTGCTCTGCACTAATTGCGTCTGAGTGCTTCCCACACCAGCTCTTGTTTTTCTTGAATGCAGCTACAGATACATTTTTCATTTGCCTTTCCACACCCTTCTTCCCCGTTTTTGTTTGCAAGCAAAATCCTTCCGGGAAAGGGCTGTAGGACTGCTCCCATTAGGGTCAATGCTGTTGGATGGAGCTCCCGAGGGGGGACTAACGCCTTGCCGTGGGGGAGCAAATGTAACAACATCTTTTTGCTTTCCCTCCTATTGGCCCTGAAAATTGGTTTTGCTGTTCCCTAGGGACCTGTTCTGATCTGCAGCTTTTCAATGGAGGTGGGAGCTCTGAGGGCACTGCTCACCACAATCACCTTCCCAGACAAGGACAAACCAGCCAAAAAACTCATCATGCCTTCCTCCATTAAATCTTTTTTAGGTGCAGCAATTGCAATAGGATAATACACCTCACTGCATCTATGTGAAAGACATCTCTCCTTTAAACCCATTCCCTCGACAGTACCACTCAGCCTTGGAGCTTGTGTCCTGCAGTCCATCTCCATGCGCTCTCTGGGATTCATCCTTAGGCAGAGCCCCTCTCTGACCGCCCTCATTTTCTCTCCTGGCCATGTCCCATTTTCTAGAGGTGCTGTCTGGATACAGGCAAGATCCTTAGAGCACCCAGAAACTGCTGAGAGCATCAGGTGAAACCTCACAGGAAGCCACAGCCATCCTTGTGGCATAAATTGCCCAAAGGTACCTGGCTATCAGGATATCAGAGTATCATCCTTTCCTTGGGCAATCACCTGGCATAAAGGCATGTAAGTGTTTACCTGGCTCCTACTCTGCTCCAAGCCTTACACAACCTGGCACAGAGAAACAGAGGCCCAAAAGGACACGTGTATCAAATGACTTGACCACAACCCAGGTGAAGCACTCACTGCTCTGCCCAGTGATACACAGCTCTTTCCAGGCAGAGGTTGGAAGCATGCTGCCATGCTTACAGCAATTGTTGCAGCTCACCAGGGCCAGGGGCACTACAAAGACATGGACAACCCGTGGGATCTCTTGCCTCAAGAAAACCCTTTCCTCCTGACTGTTTCTCCTATGCCTGCCCTGCCAGTACCTTGGCAGGGACCTCCCTAGGAAAAGTGCTGTCCTCCATCACAAATGCAAGCCTTGCTTGGAGCCCCAAGTCTTGGTGAGGTCCCAGATGGGATTGCAAGGTTTGAGCTGCTTTTCTGCATACACCCACCAGAGAAGGAACAAGCACAACCTTTATTCAGAGAACAGGACACCAGCAGCTTAAGTTTTAGTACAAAAACTGGTCCAGGGTGCTTTGTGACCACACCTGCCTGGAACAGGTTTTGTGGATTTAATGATCACATAATTCCTGAGAATTAACCATACTTTCCCTTTTGTCCTCAGAGAGAGAGGAACTCAGCAGAAGGTATCTGGTTTAACTACCCTGGAACAGGAAGACAGCAACTACCCCCAGGGCAAACCTCCACTGGCACATGCTGTTCCTCACCTCATGCCTTCCAGCCCTGGTAGCACAGAAAAGCTGAGCAAAATCCAGAGGTTCAACCCATGGATGGCAACTTGCAGCTCAGGTGCCTCACAGAAAGGCAAGGATCCCCTTCTTGCTTCAGTGGAGAAATTTGCCAGAGGTCTAGGACATTCAGCAGCATGAAGGCTGCAACAGAAGGAAGGCTAATCAAGCCCAGCACCTCCCAAGCAGCATTTCCACATCCCATTTCCTCATCCCATTTCCTCCAGCAGAGATCACAAGACCCAGGGTGACAAGACCCAGGGTGCAGGTCGGTGCAAACCCAGAGTTTGCAAGCTGTCCCCATGACACTCTCTATCTCTGAGGGCTGGCAGGTTGATGTGGTGCTCAGGCTCTTGCAAGCTGAACATCTTAAATGCTAGCCTGGTTGCTTCCTCCAAGGCATAGCAGGAGCCAAATATCCAGCCAGGTCCTCATGCTTGGCCCTCCCAGGGTACAGCACAAGCTCCCTTTTCTCTTTGCAGGCCACCGCTGCTCCCCAGCAGCAGGGAATCAAGCTGGCTCATTATAGTTTTAGCACTGCTAATTACAAGTTACAAGAAATCCACCTGAAGAAAAATGTCCCTTCTGTCCAAAAGGCTGCTCCAGCCCCAAGGACACAGCAGCCCAATTCCACAGCACCCACCCAAGCTGCAGGTGGGGGATTTTTACTGATTTCTCTTCCCTATGCACAGATTTATTGTGGACACAGTCATTCATGAAGGATGCCAAGGGACAAGTCACACAAACCCTCATAGAAGTGTCCAGCTTGCAGAAGCCCATCCATGGGGTGGGAAAGAGAGCAGAGGGATGTGGGCAGGATCACATCCCAGTGCCCCCCAGCTTGGGGACAGACCAATTGCCAAGGGCCCAGATCACTGCTGGGAAGGCTAGACAGGTGTTTCCACATACCAAGAGATCCTGACTCAGCTGATGAAAACACTGCAGCCTCAAGAGCTGCTTGGAGCAGGAGCTAAGGAAAGCAGGCTGCCTGAAAAACTAACCCACAGGTCTTAATCTCGGCCAGGCAGGTAATTAGAGCTTTGTTTGCACATTATTTTGAACTAGAAAAGGGGCAGGTGAGAGCTTCAAACCATGGAAAACAACTCTGGAGAGAGACAGCCTACTGCCTCAAGCAACACTGCTCAAGCCCCAGCTTTGGGAGCCAAGCTGTTAAGAGGAGTATCAGCTTTCTTTACAATGGAGATTTTTCGCTTTTATACCTATTGTGAAAGGAAACAAAACCCAACCCCAAAATTTGACCTTCCTACATCTTAAAGAAAAGCCTGAAGTTCATCTCTAGCTCCCTCCTGTGACTCCTGTACACAGGCTGCTATAAAACTGGCTTGGATAAATCTTTACTAAGCAGTATCCTACAGTCACTGTGCGAATATTTATAGCTCCCAATCATATACTGGAATTACTTGACACACTTCTAAAGCACAATGTGACCAGCTGCTTAGACAGTCATTGGCATCACATACACGATCCAGTTTGTCTCATTTCTGTGCCAGGCAATCAGAGAAACACTGAATCAACAGATGAAATCCTGCTGCCTTTTCCATTCAGAATCTGGATCTATCACACAAAAGCCCACCTTGCATCTTGGTTTTCACATCCCCACTTGCATTCCAGCTGCGTCTGGCCTTTCAGGATGCTGAATCACCACTAGGGAGCTGCCCTAGCCTGAACCTACGTTTTATTTGCCCTGTAGATTGCTTTCTCCATGCTGTATCTGGTCACATACTCTGTGACTCTGAACTGTTTCATGTACTCATATTTTATAACCTCTGCATATCACACATTCAAAAGCAATATCCCTACTGTTAAGATGGTTTTATGCTTGCAGTATTTATTCTCCTCACCTTTGCACCCACAACCCACCTGTACTTCCCATGCCCTATTCCCAGACAGTCTTAGTGGTCACATTAGTTCTGAAGGGAAAGCACCAGGTTTTCTCATGGTACAAAGCAAAAGGCTTTGACCAGCAATGGGTGCAACACAGCCCCTTGTTCCCAGGACCTCCACTTCGACACAGCTACATACCTCTGCCCTCTTTCTCCACTGCACTCTACTGAGTAGGAGCTAGCAGCTTGTGGGTGGAGAGAACTAACTCATGGCTGTCACTTCTCCCTGTGTGCCTCCCCGCAAGCAGACCTCTGCTCCATGCACTTATAAACCCCTTGCAGCTAGGAAGCTGGAGAAAAACATCTCTGCATGGCAAGCCATCACTGGGGCTGTTCCCCCACGGCTTGCTGCCCCAAGAGCTCCCCTGTACCCAGATAGATGAGCAATTCAGTTGACTAAGCCCATCCCAAACCCCACATCCATGGAACTGATTTCCTCCCATGCCATTGCCCTTTCCCATTGTTTTCTTGCCATTGCCCTGCCTGTTGTGCAAAGCTTGCAGAAATAACCTCAGAACAGTTTCTGGCCTTTTTGCCATAGGGATATTGCTAAATCATATTATTTTGCTGTCATGCTAGAAAAAAAATTATCCACTTCAGTACAACCATTAACCATAATTAGTGCTTAGTTGAACAGACAATCTGGAACAGGGGGATCTGATCTTCTGCTACCAGTCAATAAATCTCTCCAAGTGCACAGGGAGCAGACAGCAAAGTGAGCAATCACTCATTTCTGCTCCTGTAACTACTTTTAAATGCTCCAGCAAACAGGCTTGCACAGAATATTTTCCTCATATTTCTGGTACCAGCTCCTGCATCAGCTTCTGTTCACAGCCAGTGTCTCCTGCCCCTGGGCTTCCCTGGAACACCAGCCTGGGAGACTGAGAGCCAGGCACTTAAGAAGCCCTGACAGATGCAGCCCTAAAATACTTGGGTATTAGTATCAGAAAAGCTCCCAGTCTCATAGCAGGCTGCTCCTGGCCCAAACCCTGTCTGCTGGGCATGCGTAATGCCAGGTCTGGGACCTGCAGTTCGTACTGGGGCTCACTGAGCTGCTGCCCTCCTGGCAAACACTTCATAATCCTGCAGACCCTTTGTAATCTCTGGCTTCTCAGCAACTAGCCAAAAAAAAAAAAATCCAAAAGACCCATCTAAAGCCTTCCAAGTTATTACAAGTCATTGCTCATACTGCTTGCTCCAAGCACTCAGATCTCCCATGGAGCAGCATGCTCACAACCATACAGGTTAGCTACATGACATCACTGTCTCCTCCTGCAAGGCGACAGGGCTGTCCTCTGCAGGAGCTTTAAGGAGCTGATGTTGCCTCTGTGGTTGAGTTCATTTGCATTAAGGTACCAATGAACTTACCTGTTGAATTTTTAAGTCTGCCTCTGGATGAACCTGGAGCCCTCCACAGGTGGTACAGAAGTTGCCCTTCATGACTTGCTCTTCCCCCTTTGCCTCTGCCTAGGTCAGTCTAGGGCCACACAACAGGACAGCAGAGTGATGATTGCTTTACAGGCTCTTTGCTAGGTCTGTGTGCATTCAGGCTCAGCCAGGACAGCCCTGGAGCACACAACCCACCCTAGCAGGAGCCTTCAAGGTACCATCCAGCCTGATTTTAGTTAAAATCCTAGCTCACATCCCTTAGCTTGGGAAGGCATCTACTGAGAGAAGGAAAAAAAAAAACCAATCCTCAGGGAGGGTATCAAAACTACTAGGCCTTCCCTACTCAAAATTCAATACAAAGACACGAGAAAAGACTGAGAGAAGAGTGTGAGTGCCTGACCTTAAATAGGGTTCCTCTGCCCCAGCATAGGGTGTGTGGGTACCAGGTGAGGCTGCTTGGGGCAATTAAAGCCCATTAGTGCCCTCAAGGTCCTGACACTTGGGCTGTTGAGGTCAATCCCTCCCTTGGGCTTAATCATGGTGCAGGTTAAACAGCAGGTGAGAAGCATTTTGGTGAAATTAATCTAGACTCTGTCCAAAGTGGCCCAGATGCAGCAAGAGATGTTTATGTCAGGAAGGGTTAACAGCCCTAGGCTAGTTTCAGCATGGATGTGGCCACCTCTCTACCCCCAGCTCCAGGCTCCCAGGGCTCCCTGGTGCCCACAGCCACAATGCTGAATGCCCAGAGCTGTGGGGTTCAGACTGTAGGGAAACCCAGCAGGTCCACCCCATGCACAGCCCGGGTGAGTGGAAAGCCCTTCCTTCCTTCCTTCACCCCCAGGCACTGAGTCCCCAGCTCCATAGTCAGGGTACTGTCTTGTCCAGCTGCACTCCCAGCCAGACCCATGCTGGTACATCAGCACCCGACTCGGGGAGATTTGATGGTCCCCAAGTGGAGCCAGTTTTCTCTTCAGCCTGCCCTGGGCTTTTCACACAGCTGCCCACGGTCCAGCACAGAGCTGTCATGCCCAGGCTTGGGCCAAGGTGGGAGGACCGGGATGAGCTCCCATGCTGGCTGCGCACCTGAACTCATCACCATGTAAACTGGGAGACAACCTCATGTCTCCTTGAGTGACAGCATCACCCTGACCCCACCATCTTCACAGAGACAGAGGAGTGAAAACATCAGGATTTAAATCCCTGTTTAAGCACAGCTATGCTCTTTATACTTAACTGCTGGTGCTGCGGTGACAGGGCTCTGCTTTGCCTCTGCTGTTATAAGCAGCCTGTGCAAAAACCTTGCAGCCCTGGCTTGGAGCAGCCCTCCAGCTTGTGTGCCACCCCCAGGGCTGGGAAGATGCCCCATCAACCACTCACTCTTACCTGCTCCTCTCTCACCTCCTGGGCCTTCAAACACCAACCCACTCACACTGGCAATGCTCTGGTGTATGTGTTGGGGACATGCCATGGAGACTGCACTTCACCTGCTCACCACCCAGAAAATACCCTCTCCTAAATGTCAGGTCCTCACCTCCAAAAGATGATGGTGGCTCTGGCCGGTGTCTCATTGCTCCCTCTTTGTAATATGATCAATGTAGGTTTGTAAAAACACTCTTTCCAACTGCAGATCCTTGCTCAGTGGCTCCATCCCACCCCAGGAAAAAACAACTCATCAGCTCAAACTGCCTGTGAAGTCCTGAGTTTTTGCTCCGGAAGAGGGTTTCTCTTTCCCTTGCATCAGGCTATGATTTTGCAGCCTTGGTCAGCCCCTGACTGTGTTGCCAGCCACAGCCTCTCCTGGAGGATCCTTGGGTGCATCAGCAAGGACTGTCACAGTGCCCGTCACCTGGGGATGAGGGGTCAAAGGGACAGCACTGCCCTGCCAGCCCTCACCCTTGGGGCTGCTTGGATGCATCCCAGCTCCAAGGCAGGGGAAGAAATCTCAAAGAGATGTTTCTGGGCTGATTAAAGTTAATTAGCTCAAATGATGCCTCTGAAGGGAAATGTTTCTTATTTCGGGTTCCCGCTGATTTGGGCCCAAGCCTGGTTTTCATAAGGCCAGTAACTGCAAACAGATAGGGCTCTTTCATTGGAAACAGGCAGCGCAGGATATAATTAAAGAAGTATGCACTGGCATCTCAAAGAACCGTTTTCAATTACTCCTATTTCAAGAGGATTAAGGGGAAATATTTTAAACAAGACCACTGCAAAAATAGATTTTGTTTGTCATTAGCTTTGAAATAATATTTGACTTAAGGGCTGAAATTTCCATTTGCCAGGTTGGCCTCCAGTGGCACTTTCCCCAGGGGCTGGGAAGAGGCTGATTCATAGTGGCATGGGAGCTCAGAGCAGAGCTCCCTATGTACAGCCCTATTTTAATATGGAAATAGCCTCCCTTTTTCCCTGGCCAGTTTTCTCTCTGTTCCAGCCTGGAAGTGATGCGTGGGGCAGCTTCAGACGTGAGGAACATGCTGCAAGGGACTTGTGTGGTTACCAGACTGCACTTGGGGTGCTCTGGGGACACATTGCCACTGCATTTGGATGGGAGTGCCCTCCGGCAGAGGGAGTGATGGCTCCGTTGGTCCCTATGCTTTCCTTGGCCAGGGCCAGCTGTACCTCTGACCCTTGTGCTTTGCTGCTGTATCTCTGCACAGCATGAGCCCATGGGTGTGAATTCAGGATGGTCTGTTCTGCCAGTGGCCACATGGGTGGCCTGAGAGATGCAGTTTTACCATAGTCACCACAACAGTAAAAAGATGCTGCCTCCATCCTCCCTGTGTCTCTTCCTCTCCTGGCTCAGGCTGTACCTTCAGAAAGGGAATGAAACTGGAAATAATCACAGGAGGGGAGCAGCATCCATGACCCTTGCCTGGGAGCCCTTCTCTGGGCTGCAGGTGTAGAGCTTCTGCACAAGACTAGACATGGAGCCGGGAAGGGTAATATAGGTTTGCTCTATTTTCCCTCCTCATATTTCCCAACATGTGGACAGGACACATGCTTGAAGTGTATGAAACCCATGGTCATGTGGGGCAGAAGTGAGTGGCAGTCACACTGTAAGCACTGTAACTTACACAGGTAGGACAGGACCACCTCACCCAGCCACAGGTATGTCAGTGCCAGCATTTGTTGAACACTTTCTGAGATACCTATCATAGGACAGATAATGAGAAGTCAGTTACTATCCATATGAAAGGATCCCAGACTCACACGTCTAGGTTCAACACCTAATTATCAGGCAACTCAAGTTCAGTGAGTCTGCAGACTTGCTTGACATGTCCAAAGTGGGCACATTCATCCTCCTTTGCAGGGCTTGTCTTCTCAGAGGAAAGGACTGTTTCTCACAGCACCTGGGACAGTCAGGCTCCTGTCTCTCCAGGGGCTCCTAAAGGCCTGTGTGAAGTAACAGCATGGGAAGGACCCAGCCACAGAGCAGTGAGAAGGGCCCTCCACTAACATTTGCCCAGAGAGCTTATGAGGCTCAAGCAACAGAAAACTGGTCCTAGCAGGATCATGAGAAATTATTTCTCTGTGCTATTTACAGAAACCAAGGACATATTTTTCCTTTCGGAAACACCACAAGGACGATGTTTCTCATGGCTGTTGAGAAAGACGGGTCCACCTCTGGGAATAGCATGGGTTGGGGTACGTAAGCTTGGGGCAGCAAGGCAACACATCAAAGACAACCAAGGACACCAAAAACGGACTTTGGCCACTTCCATGTCAAAGTGCAGGGCTGTTGGCACCAGCTCGGACTCTTGTATATGAGAGGAGTGTCAACAGGCTGCAGAAATGTCTAATGAGCAGAGGCACCAAAAGACAGCTCCTCTCCATGGTGCATGGGCCAGAGGCATTTCCAAATGCATGGCTGCTGGGTCCAGGGCACACATGACAGCTTCCCCATCCCACAAAGCAACTGATGGGCAATGAAAAGGCTTCAAGGAGTGGGCTTCCTACCTTGCCAATGGAGCTACATAACCCAAAGGGTTACCCAAAGTGCTTTGTATCTTCAGAGCTGCAGGCTTCAGGCAGCATGAGAGACTCAGAGGGCTCCATCTTGGCCACAAAGCCTCCAAACTTACTGCAAGAACTAGTGAAAGAGAGAAAATAGCACACCAAAGCAGATAGGGTCAAATAAGCCTAAACCCATGGAGATTTCACACTGTTAGCAGCTCTTGGGTAGCTGTTGGGCTAAAAGAACCTGGGAGGAAGCCACCAGCTCCAGGAAACAGGGACTAGGAGATGCACCTTCTGCTGTGAGCTTAGAGCAAAAGCATAGCTACAAAGACCTGAAAAAATAATGTCACCCAGAAGCCAGACAGCAGGGAAAGGAGGCATATGTAGGAGGGCATATGTTTACAAAGATGGGGGAAGAAAACAGATAGTTCGAGCAAAGAGCAGCATAGGCAGAAGGCTGATGAAATGCCTCCTTTCCACATGCAGTATTCCAGTCCCTGTAAAATCCAAGTGAATTTCATTGTTAGTGCGATCAATTCTCCTCTAGATAACCCAGCATCATCTCATGGAGCCCCCAATGCCACTTCCAGTGATTTCAGGTCAGCCCTGTGCCCATGCTGACAGGCAGTGCAGCCTGGATAAGGGCACACAGCAGGATGGCAGCTGGCACCCTCCTACATACACCTTCGCCCTGCACCCCCTATGCTGCTGGGTGCCACCCCACACCATTGGTCCCTCCTGGCTGCTAGTTTCCAGCACAGCAACAAGCTTCAGATGGCAGCTCTGTGGTTTCCACTTCTGCTGCCCCCTCCCAGGCATGCAGGGGCATGGCCTCATCGCTGTCCCCAGTTCTCCCTCTCCATCCCTGTCCCCAGCTCCATCCTCGACCCATTACCCACCTCCTCTGCAGAAGGTGCCGTTTGACCTTTCTTCTCCCAGCTCTCCCACGCATCTCCAGCCATTCCCACTGCCCATCCAGCCTTTAGTCATTCCTCTTGGGGCGAGGCAGAGCTGGGGCTGCAGGACCAGCCTTAAGTACCCCAGGTCCATGAACGAGCACTGGCCCACAATCCTGCATCACATCCCAGGGTGTCACT